CTATCCTATCAATATGGGCCAACATTTCTAAAGAATGCTTTCAGCACCTTGTTGAATCAATGCCACGTAGAATTAAGGCAGTTCTGAAGGCGAAAGTGGGTCAAACACCGTATTAGTATGGTGTTCCTATTAATCCTTTAGGTGAGTGTATTAGCAGTGGTCCTGGGCTAAATATGTATTTTACTACTCTTGAGCAGCTGCACACTGCCCCAGTGAACATCTATCTCTATAAAAAGGCAGTGGAGAGTAAATCAATGAGAGGCAAATTAGAAGCAGTTGCTACGTTACAGCTACTCTATGCTGAGCTGATGGACAGGTTGTACTATTGTAATATATGTTGTATTTGTGTCTAGCTTAGTGGGTTAGGGATCAGAGCCTAGAAGGTCATGGGTTTGAATCCCAGGCCAAGGTCCCCAACAGCTCCAAGGGCGCTAGAGGCAGGCTGTCCCCCATCCTTTCCTGTTCAGTATGTCGCTGTGGACAAAAATGTCTGCTGAATAAATGTAATGCTTGCAGGCCACAAATTTTTTCAGCTGTTTTTTTGATACATGAGGTTTTTGCTGCAAGTCCTTGAGGATTTGAGTTTCAAGGGGATGGATGTGGCCTCTCTTCTCTGATATTTGGTCTGCATGCCTGGTGTTGTTCTAAACTTCAGTGCCAGGAAGCCCGCAGGAACAAACTCTACAATGCTGAAAAGTTCTTGCAACTCTGTGCTTCTAAAAAAATCCACTGTCAAATCAAGACTTGTCCACCTAACCAGAGACCCATATAATCACGCCTTATGCAGAAATTAAGAAGACATCTATCCACATCAAGCCTTCCAAGGGGATGCATTTTTAAGGTTTCAAATATCTAAACAGTCATTTTCACCATGACGAATGACCAAAGAGTTGTAATGCATTTTACATGGACTGTGTCCTGCTTTGGTAACCAGCAAAACATAACCTATAAGTACAATGGCAGACCCCCCTCTCACCAAACAGACCCTGGACTTTACCTGCCACAGGCCCCTGAAACCTTACTGAGAGTCTCCAATTACAAATGAGGAACACAAAAATCAATACAAAGTCAACTGAAGTTGTTAGACAGCTTAAAGAGAATTATGTGATAGCTTTTCATCTTTGGTGGGCAAGTCGGGTCCTTCTGCAGGTGCCCTCAATTTTTCCTGCTAACAAAAGTGGAAACCATAGCTGTCAAGTCTCCCGTTTTGGCCGGAAAACTACCGTATTTTATCCCTCTTTCCCGCCGCCCTCCC